CAGTTGGGCGCGACGCGCGGGCTGCAGCAGGGCGCGACTTGGGGGGCAGCAGGGCGCGACGCGCAGGCTGCAGCAGGGCACGACGTGCGGGCTGCAGGGCGCGACGCGCGGGCAGCAGTGGGGCGCGACGCGCGGGCTGCAGCAGGGGCGCGACGCGCGGGGCAGCAGGGCGCGACGTGCGGGCAGGCAGGGCAGCAGGGCGCGCGTGGGCAGGGAAAAAAAAAATACAAGGCCGGGCAGGGCGGAACATTCGGTGGGCTCTAGGGAACGAACCTACTCTGATACCATGTCTGAATAGGGAAACAGGAATGATTGAACTAGCAACAATGGAGATACAAGTAGGAAACCCTGAAGGGGTTGTCCCCTCTACAGTGTACCCCAGTATAGCCTACAGTAGCATAAGTACATGTTTTGACACCAACCCACCAATTGGAGATTGCCTTGGGATTACCCTCAATACCCTAGGGATTGCCCCTGATTCCCTCCCCATCCATACCTTGCTCATTTCGGATGTACTTATGGATCAATTCAAAGCTTCAGTTCCAACATTGTACCCTGATAACATATGGCAAGTTCTGCTGTTACACTACTGCAATCAATTGTGCCATCCAAACAGTTACAGCTACTGCCTGGATGATGTATACATCTAGACAGCGCTGTTCGCTTTTAATGAGTCGCGCATCAGAGGACCTTCTTCCGCTCGAAGAAGGTCTTGAGATGCCAGAACTGCAGAGCAGCCAGCACAGCGCATGTGAGCAGTGACACGGCACTGAGCCACCCCACGCGCTCGTGGGTGGCCTTGGACATGCCTCGCAGCTCCTCCTCCCTGCAGCCAGGCAAGGGGCACCACGGGAAGCTGGGCAGCATGAAACGAGCAGGGTGAAGCAAGGAGGGCGGGATGGCACGTGGTACGATGCATGGCAGCAGCGTGAGGGCCTGCTTGTGGTGCTGGAGGAGGAGGAGCAGCAGCAGCTGGAAAACCGATACACTTTTCCTGCCAAACCCCACACACTCTCCTCGCCACACAATACACAACCCCCTCCTGCACAGAGCCTGCCCATACACTCTCTGCGTGTGCAGCACAGCAGCACTTGATGCAGCACAGCAGCACTTGATGCAGCACAGCAGCACTTGATGCAGCACAGCAGCACTTGATGCAGCACAGCAGCACTTGATGCAGCACAGCAGCACTTGATGCAGCACAGCAGCACTTGATGCAGCACAGCAGCACTTGATGCAGCACAGCAGCACTTGATGCAGCACAGCAGCACTTGATGCAGCACAGCAGCACTTGATGCAGCACAGCAGCACTTGATGCAGCACAGCAGGCATGAGCGCGGCACACCTCTCATGGAAGAAGATCATTTCATTCGAAGCCGCCTCCACCAGCCCCTCCAGCCGCTTCACCTCCCACTCGAAGCTCTGCATGCCACCCCCACCATGGCACCCTCCATGGCACCCACCCCCACACCCACCACCACACCCACCACCACACCCACCACCACACCCACAACCACACCCACCACCACACCCACCCCCACACCCACCACCACACCCACCACCACACCCACCACCACACCCTCCACCACACCCACCACCACACCCTCCACCACACCCTCCACCACACCCACCACCACACCCACCACCACACCCACCACTGCACCCACCACCACACCCACCACGACACCCACCCCCACACCCACCACCACACCCACCACCACACCCACCACCACACCCACCACCACACCCACCACCACACCCACCCCCACACCCACCACCACACCCACCACCACACCCACCACCACACCCTCCACCACACCCACCACCACACCCTCCACCACACCCTCCACCACACCCACCACCACACCCACCACCACACCCTCCACCACACCCTCCACCACACCCACCACCACACCCACCCCCACACCCACCACCACACCCACCACCACACCCACCACCACACCCACCACCACACCCTCCACCACACCCTCCACCACACCCTCCACCACACCCACCACCACACCCACCACCACACCCACCACCACACCCACCACCACACCCACCCCCACACCCACCCCCACACCCACCACCACACCCACCACCACACCCACCACCACACCCACCACCACACCCACCACCACACCCTCCACCACACCCTCCACCACACCCACCACCACACCCTCCACCACACCCTCCACCACACCCTCCACCACACCCACCACCACACCCACCACCACACCCACCACCACACCCACCACCACACTCACCACCACACCCACCACCACACCCACCACCACACCCTCCACCACACCCACCACCACACCCTCCACCACACCCTCCACCACACCCACCACCACACCCACCACCACACCCTCCACCACACCCTCCACCACACCCACCACCACACCCACCACCACACCCACCCCCACACCCACCACCACACTCACCACCACACCCACCACCACACCCACCACCACACCCACCACCACACCCACTACCACACCCACCACCACACCCACCACATCACCACAGCACCCACAGCCAGTGACCCACAAGCAGCGAGAAGAAAGCAAAGGGCATCGGGGGAAGGGAGAGGGTGAGCAGGTGTGCATGCGTGGCGTGGCTTGGCTCACAGCACAGCGTCGTCACACAGCAGACACTGCTGTGAGGCAGCATTCGAATCAGGCATGGCGAGTGCAGGCATGGCGCGTGCAGGCATGGCGAGTGCGCAGACACACCCCCCTACCTCCACCCTCTCCTTGGTGGCGGCCTGCTGCACGTGGGACGCCGCCTGCCCCTCACGCCACGCCACCTCCACCTGGTGCCGCCCCTCGTCAAGGCGCCCCACGTGGTGGCCATTAAGCCAGAAGCAGAGGTGGTACTCGCCGCTCTCCTCCGCTGTGAACCCCAGCTGCCCCTCGCTCACCCCCTCCTTCAGATACACGTGCACGCCGCCCGGGGAGGTCACCTGCGCCATCACAACACACCAATGGGGAGGCGTGGAGATGAATGAGAGGAATGGTGTTTGGCAGAATCGACATTGTGAAAGCAAGCAAGTGTCGGACACATGGATGAATGTATCTGTGTGAATGTGCAAGGATGTGGAGAGGCGACGTGCAAGGATGTGGAGAGGGGACGTGCAAGGATGTGGAGAGGGGACGTGCAAGGATGTGGAGAGGGGACGTGCAAGGATGTGAAGAGGGGACGTGCAAGGATGTGAAGAGGGGACGTGCAAGGATGTGGAGAGGCGACGTGCAAGGATGTGGAGAGGGGACGTGCAAGGATGTGAAGAGGGGACGTGCAAGGATGTGAAGAGGGGACGTGCAAGGATGTGGAGAGGGGACGTGCAAGGATGTGAAGAGGGGACGTGCAAGGATGTGAAGAGGGGACGTGCAAGGATGTGGAGAGGGGACGTGCAAGGATGTGAAGAGGGGACGTGCAAGGATGTGAAGAGGGGACGTGCAAGGATGTGGAGAGGCGACGTGCAAGGATGTGGAGAGGGGACGTGCAAGGATGTGAAGAGGGGACGTGCAAGGATGTGAAGAGGGGACGTGCAAGGATGTGGAGAGGGGACGTGCAAGGATGTGAAGAGGGGACGTGCAAGGATGTGAAGAGGGGACGTGCAAGGATGTGAAGAGGGGACGTGCAAGGATGTGAAGAGGGGACGTGCAAGGATGTGGAGAGGGGACGTGCAAGGATGTGGAGAGGGGACGTGCAAGGATGTGAAGAGGGGACGTGCAAGGATGTGAAGAGGGGACGTGCAAGGATGTGGAGAGGGGACGTGCAAGGATGTGAAGAGGGGACGTGCAAGGATGTGAAGAGGAGACGTGCAAGGATGTGGAGAGGCGACGTGCAAGGATGTGGAGAGGGGACGTGCAAGGATGTGAAGAGGGGACGTGCAAGGATGTGAAGAGGGGACGTGCAAGGATGTGAAGAGGGGACGTGCAAGGATGTGAAGAGGGGACGTGCAAGGATGTGAAGAGGGGACGTGCAAGGATGTGGAGAGGGGACGTGCAAGGATGTGAAGAGGGGACGTGCAAGGATGTGAAGAGGGGACGTGCAAGGATGTGGAGAGGCGACGTGCAAGGATGTGGAGAGGGGACGTGCAAGGATGTGAAGAGGGGACGTGCAAGGATGTGAAGAGGGGACGTGCAAGGATGTGGAGAGGGGACGTGCAAGGATGTGAAGAGGGGACGTGCAAGGATGTGAAGAGGGGACGTGCAAGGATGTGGAGAGGCGACGTGCAAGGATGTGGAGAGGGGACGTGCAAGGATGTGAAGAGGGGACGTGCAAGGATGTGAAGAGGGGACGTGCAAGGATGTGGAGAGGGGACGTGCAAGGATGTGAAGAGGGGACGTGCAAGGATGTGAAGAGGGGACGTGCAAGGATGTGAAGAGGGGACGTGCAAGGATGTGAAGAGGGGACGTGCAAGGATGTGGAGAGGGGACGTGCAAGGATGTGGAGAGGGGACGTGCAAGGATGTGAAGAGGGGACGTGCAAGGATGTGAAGAGGGGACGTGCAAGGATGTGGAGAGGGGACGTGCAAGGATGTGAAGAGGGGACGTGCAAGGATGTGGAGAGGGGACGTGCAAGGATGTGGAGAGGGGACGTGCAGTGGGTGGCAGCACTGACGGAGATGTCGAGCATGAAGGGGTGCGCGTGGCTGGTGGGCACGGTGGCGTAGGAGGCGGCGACGAGCGTGTGTTGGCGCAGGTCGTGGCCGACGCACTTGGCGTGCTGCTCCACGTGGAAGCGCACCGCTGTGGGCGCTGGGGGGGAGAGCAGGTGAGGGGGAAGAGTTAGAGGGGCTTGATAAGTACATGCATGGGTGGTAGCACGCGCATGGTCCTGAGCTTTCGGTGTGGAGAAGGAGAAAAGGAGAAGAGAAGATAGGAAGACGAGAGAAGAGGAAGAGATGAGAAGTGAAGCGGAGAAGAGAAGAGAAAAGATGAGAAGAGAAGAGGAGACGAGGGAAGAAGAGGAAGAGATGAGAAGAGAACAGGAGAAGAGGAGAGAAGAGGAAGAGGAGTGAAGAGGAAGAGGAGAGAAGAGAAAGAGATGAGAAGAGAGGAGGAGAGAAGAGGAAGAGGAGAGAAGAGAAAGAGGAGAGAAGAGGAAGGGCAGTGAGGGGGGGGGGCAGTGAGGGGGGGGGGCAGTGAGGGGGGGGAGCAGTGAGGGGGGGGGGCAGTGAGGGGGGGGAGCAGTGAGGGGGGGGGGCAGTGAGGGGGGGGGGCGACCGCAGCAGGCATAGCGCCGCGTGCTGCAGTCGCGTGTGCGGCGAGGGCAGCGACGGGCGCACCCTCCGATCCGCCCGCGAGACGCGCTCGGCGCGCAACGCCACTCGGCGGCTCACCTGCGCGCGTGGCCATGGCGAGCAGCAGCAGCCACAGCGCGACGCCGCGCGCCATGGCGCTTCGCGCGGCGAGGGCGGGGGAAGCAAGTGTTGACGCCAGACAGGCGAGGTGAATGCGGATGGCCCTCGCTGAGCGGAGCGAGAACCGGCGCGGATTGAGTCACGCCGTGCGAGGAGAGATCGACCGGCGCCTGCTGCGTGACGGTAGGGGCGTTCCGTAGGACAGGGAATTTGAAGGTCTAGTTGCTGCTGCGATCTCAGTAGTGTTCAGTGATAAACGCTATGCTGATATAGGCTGCGTGTTATGAGTGCGCGGGTTTCACCATATGAACTGAAATGCACACAAACTAGTTAATTACTGAATGAACATAGAATAGGGCGTGTCCCATGGTTCGTTTACACTTCATGTTGAGTTTTTGTGTTGCGTAGCAACCCTATATAATCGATTTCATCTTTTGGGGATATCATTTCAAGAGTGATTTTTACAGCACTCTTTGGAGCACGCGCTTGAGAATGCTTCAAATCGTGAATAAAAATCACTCATGAATGAGGTCTCCCAAAAGTGAAACCAATTACATATCATGTTGAAACCATGATTTTTTTCCGGCCGTCCCAGCTCGTCGATTAATTCGGCGGATGGTACGATCGAACATGGCATCAACATGAGCGAATGCATTTGTACAAATGAACACGGTACGAAGTGTGATGCGAATGCTTCAAGAAATGTTACAATGTATCAACGTAGCAATAGAGATTGATGGGGCCGTTGAAACAGCGAATACACGCTGCACCAACGATGATGACAACCTCTAGTTGCATACACGATGCATTGGAACACCCCACCTTGGAACATGCACATCACACAAACACGAAATGCAAACGTCACGAAAAAAATAAGTTGTGACGACATCAAAATGGATGTTAATATGCACCAATGCTACAACTGAGATTGATGGGGTCGTTGAGACAGTGAAAACGCACTGCGCCAACGACGATGACAACCTCAGCTGCAAACACGATGCATACCAACATTACACCCTGAAATAATCACAACCAACTGACACACACACAGCACACCCACCCACCCACACACGATACACACACATACACACATGCACTGACGCACATATATATACACACACATACATACAATGAGGAGAGAGAGCAAACAAGCATAACAAAGAGTCGCAAAAAGCTGTTAACGTAACAATCACTGCTAGCCTGCTCCCCCTTCCATCCCTTTTCCTCTTCCCTCTTTGTCCCCACGTTTTGCCAAATCTTTGTCAAACATTATATGTTTACATTGTGTAGGCTATAGTGGGTCTAGCCTTAGGGGGTACAACAAACTTAGGGTTTCCTACTTGTACCCAACTTTCTGCTAGTTTCATCATTCTCGTTCGTTCTTACTTTCTAACATGGTATCACGAGCCTAGGTCGTAACCTAGGACCGAATCGATAAGGGCCCACCGTTTTCGCCTAGTCGCGCCCTAGCGCGCCTCGCCTAGTTGCGCCCTCGAGCGCCCTCCTCTCTCTCTCTCACTGTCGCGCGCCATAGCGCGCCTCTCGCGATCGGCCCCGCCTAGCCCGCACGCCCTAGCGTGCCCCGTGCGATCGGCCCCGCCCACCTCGTGCGCCCTTGCGTACTTCTTACGGACCGGCCCCGCCCCTTAGCGCGCGCCCTTGCGTGCCCCGTGCGACCGGCCCACACCCACCCGCGCGCCCTTGCGTGCCCCTCGCGTACCGGCCCCGCCCTCGCTAGCCCGCCACCTCGTGCCCCGTGCGACCGGCCCACACCCACCCGCGCGCCCTTGCGTGCCCCTCGTGTCCCGGCCCCGCCCTCGCTAGCTCGCCACTTTGTGCCCCGTGCGGACCGGCCCCACTCTGCCCTGCACGCCCTAGCGTGCCCCACCTCGAGTAGCCGCCGCCTAGCCGAGCCGAGTCGCCCCACCGAACCGCGCCACCCGGCCCGAGCCGCGCCGACCTACCGAACCGCGCCGCCCTACCGAGCCGCGCCGCCCTACCGAGCCGCGCCGCCCTACCGAGCCGCGCCACTGCTGCTTTCACTGCTACTGACGCTACTGCTGTTCCTGCTGCTACTACTACTACTGCTCTTACTGCAACTATGGCTAGCCCTGCTGTACTCGCTTTCGATGCTGAGGGCCGCCCGCTGAAGTTTGACACCTGGCTAGATGACTTGCACCTGTTCCTCCAGCTCACTGCCAAGGAGGATATCTCGCTGTACGATCACGCACTAGGACACGCTGCTGCCCCTGCTACTACTGCTGACAGTACTGCCCGCTCATAGTGGCAGACTCGTGACGCCCACGCTCGCTTCGCTATTCGCAACTCCCTGCCGGTAGATGAGCGCGAGCACTTTGGCCAGCACAAAACTGCACAGGCATTGTACACTGCTGTAGTTGCACGCTACTCCTCACCTGCCTCTGCTGCACTAGGCCGTCTCTCGCTTCCCTACCTGTTCCCAGACCTGTCCGCTTTCGCCACAGTCGCTGACCTCACCACGCACCTCCGCACTAGTGAGGCTCGCTTCCGTGCCGATATGCCCGCTGAGTTTCTTGCCACCCACCCCCCCCCGCTCTGGCTCACTCTCTACCACCTTGTCACCCGTCTCCCTGACTCTCTTCGTGCGGTCAGGGACCACTTCCTCGCTCGCTCCCCCACTGAGCTCACCATAGACCTGCTCGAGAAGGAACTGCTTGCAGCAGAGACTAGCATAGTCGCTGTAGCTGCCTCTCGTGGCGACCCCCGCACCCCGTTCTTCGAGGGGTGTTCCCCTTCCCCCCTTCTCCCCTCTGTCGCCTCTGCTGCTGCTGTCGACCTAGTTGGTATTGAGCAGGTCGGGACTGCGTCAGCTCCGAGCTGGCGCCGCAGCGGCAAGGGCAAAGGGGGCAAGGGAGGTGGAGGTGACGGCGGGGGAGGTGGGAGTGGGGGCGGTGGCGGCGGTGGGGGTGGTGGCGGGGCTGGAGGGGCTAGTGGCAGCGGTGGGGGTGGAGGCGGCAGCAGCGGAGGAGGTGGCCGGGGTGGGGGCGGTGGTTGGGGAGGCGGTGGACGCGGAGGCGGCAGGGGCGGTGGTGGTCGAGGTGGTGGCGGCGGCGGTGGTGGTCGTGGAGGCACTGGCGGTGGCCAGAGCCAGCAGCACACTCCGTCGTCCCAGGAGGTTCGTGAGTGGTACTCTCAGCACGGGGGGGGGGGGGTGGCCTTAGCTGCACGTACGTCATCCGCACTGGTGACCGCACTGGCCAGACGTGTGGGAGGGCGCACACCACGCAGCGCTGCTTTTCCCGCCTGGACGACGCTTGGCGCACTCAGTTCCCTGCTGCCACTGAGATGCCCCGCTGGGCTGACCTGATGAAGAAGAACATTGATATCTATGCTCTTGACTTTGATGTTATTCTCACTGCAATGTATGTGTTGTCTACTAGTGGAGAGAGTGCCCAGTACCTGCGTGTTCCGCCCGACCCGGGCATCCGCACCAGTGAGGCTGCCGCTCTAGGTGCTTGCGTGTCTGCTGCCCCAGGTGCTGGTGAGGCTGCTGCTCTAGGTGCTTGCGTGGCTGCTGCCCCAGGTGCGGGTGAGGCTACTACTCCAGGTGCTAGTGAGTCTGCGCCCCCTGGTACTGAGTCCACTGAGGCACTGCACACCTTCACTCTAGACTCAGGAGCTTCTCGCTGTTTCTTTCGTGACCGCACTGCCCTTGAGCAGCTTGCTCGGCCAGTTGCTGTCTCCCTTGCTGACCCCTCTGGGGGTCCGGACATTGCGACCTCCTCCACTGTCCTCCTTGTCCTGCGGTTCCGTCGGGCACACTGTCAGGTCTCCACCTCCCCTCGTTCTCTACGAACTTGGTGGCAGGCTGTGCGCTCCAGGACGGGGGTGTCCACCAGTTCACCCCTGCCTACGAGCGCGTGACACACTGCACGTGTGCTCGGACGGGCCGTCACCTGGCTACCTTCACTAGGCAGCCGGGGTCGGACTTGTACACACTGACCACTGAGTCCCCTCAGGTAGCTGCGTCTGCGTCTGCGTCTGCGTCAGGTCAGCTGTCTGCCCCCTGCTCGTGTCGCTCTCTGGCGCACGAGACTGTCCTCTGGCACCACCGCCTTGGTCACCCGTCAGTGCAGCGCCTTCGTGCCATGCACAAACGGTACCTTGTCTCTGGTCTTCCCCGGGTACTCCCTCCCCTCCCACCCTCGCCTGCTCCTCCCTGTCTTCCTTGTGTCGAGGGGCGGCAGCGCGCCGCTCCTCACTCCTCCTCGTTTCTCCCGACGACTGCTCCCTTGCAGACGCTCCACATGGACGTGTGGGGCCCAGCCCGCGTCCGTGGACAGGGTCAGGATAGGTACTTCCTGATCGTTGTTGACGACTACTCGCGCTACACCACGGTCTTCTCCTTGCGCACCAAGGGTGAGGTCCCTGATGTTTTGATCCCTTGGATCCGCGCTTCTCGTCTCCAGCTCAGCGAGCGGTTCCGCTCGGACTTTCCTGTCCTGCGTCTGCACTCAGACAGAGGTGGGGAGTTCTCCTCCGACCTCTTGGCAGCCTACTGTGCGGAGCACGGCATTGAGCAGTCGTTCACGCTTCCGGCCTCTCCACAGCAGAATGGGGTTGCTGAGCGCCGCATTGGCTTGGTCATGGAGGTCGCTCGTACCTCCTTGATCCATGCGGCTGCCCCCCACTTTCTGTGGCCGTTTGCGGTCCGGTACGCTGCGCATCGGCTCAACCTCTGGCCCCGTGTCTCCTTGCCAGAGACCTCGCCCACACTGCTGTGGACGGGGGAGGTTGGCGATGCGTCACGTTTCCGGGTCTGGGGATCTCGAGTTTTTGTCCGCGATACGTCCGCGGACAAGCTCTCCTCCCGTGCTGTTCCTTGTGTCTTCCTTGGCTTTGTCCCCGACGCGGCTGGTTGGCAGTTTTACAGCGCCACCTCGCGCCGTGTCCTGCCCTCTCAGGACGTCACTTTTGACGAGTCGGTGCCCTACTACCGCCTCTTCCCCTACCGCACTGCCCCGCTCCCCCCCCCTCCTCTCTTCCTCGCGCCAG